AGGGGGAGGGAGAGGAGGAGGAGAAGGAGGAGGAAGAGGAGAAGAAGAAGAAGAAGGAAGACTAATAATAATAATAATAATAATAATAATAATAATAATAATAATAATAATAATAATAATAATAAGAAGAAGAAGAAGAAGAAGAAGAATGGAGAGGGGGAGGAGGAAGAGCAGGAGCCATGAGATAAATCTGCTGACATCCAAGTACGCCCGCCTCTCCGACGATGCTAAGCATGAAGTTGTAATTGCGTTACCGAGGAGCCCTATATGCATATATTATGGCTGGAGTGAAGATAGCTGAAGCGAAGCATGTGAGAATGATGCTGGTGGCCGTTCCCTGCGCACCCCCTGTCGAGAAAGTGCCACGCCTGCTACGCCCTGGACGACCGGCTCGGACAGCTGCGCGATTGACCAAAGCTGCCTCGCAACTGCGCAAATTGACAAGGTCAACCTCGACACCTGCGTCTGTCATGCACTTCTTCAAATTCAAGCACGGAGGCGGTAGTGCGTCAATGGGACATTTCGGCGGCATGAGCGGCGCGGGGGGGCAAGGCAGCGCCTGCAATATTCGAACAGATTCGGGCCAGGGTGTCTACGGTTCTGGCTGCCACGCATGCCGCGTTTTCCCGCCATGGCACGCATATGGGGCCGCGCTGAAGTAACACCCCCTGCGCACCCATTGAATTGCCCCTGCCACGCATACAGGATCACCCCCTGCACGCCCCCTCTGGCGTCGAAGAACTGCCGCGCCTTCCGCTCTCTCCGACCCTGGCACGCATAGAGGCCGCGCTGAGAGACCACCCCCTGCGCACCGCTTCTGGTGTCGAGAGTGCCACGCCTGCCACGCTCGCCGACCCTGGCACGCATAGAGGCCGCGCTAAGAGACCACCCCCTGCGCACCCCTCCTTTTGCCGAGAAAGTGCAACGCCTGCCACGCTCTCCGACCCTGGCACGCATAGAGGCCGCGCTGAGAGACCACCCCCTGCGCCCCTCCTCTGGCGTCGAGAAAGTGCCACGCCTGCCACGCTCTCCGACCCTGGCACGCATAGAAGCCGCGCTGAAGTAACACCCCCTGCGCCGCCCCTTTCTGGCTTCGAGAATGTGCCGCGCATGCCACGCTCTCCGACCCTGGCACGCATAGAGGCCGCGCTGAGACCACCCCCTGCGCACCCCGTCTGGTGTCGAGAAAGCACCGCGCCCGCCGCGCCCTCCGACCCTGGCACGCATGGAGGCCGCGCTGGGAGACCACCCCCTGCGCACCCCCCCTGGCGTCGAAAAACTGCCGCGCCTGCCACGCTCTCAGACCCTGGCACGCATAGAGGCCGCGCTGAGAGACCACCGCCTCTGCGCACACCCTCTGGTGTCGAGAAAGTGCACGCATGCAGCTTTCGACCCTGCACGCATAGAAGCGCGATGAGAACCACCCCCTGGCACCCCCTGGGTAGTCGAGAAAGTGCCGCGCGCTTGCCCCGTTCTCCGACCCTGGCAGCATAGATGGCCGCGCTGAACGACCACCCCCTGCGCACCCCCATCTGGTGTCGAGAGACCCTGGCACGCATTGAGGCCGCGCTGAGAGACCACCCCCTGCGCACCCCCATCTGGTGCCGAGAAAGTGCCACGCCTGCCACGCTCTCCGACCCTGGCACGCATAGAGGCCGCGCTGAGAGACCACCGCCTGCGCACACCCTCTGGTGTCGAGAAAGTGCCACGCCTGCCACGCTTTCCGACCCTGGCACGCATAGAGGCCGCGCTGAGAGACCACCCCCTGCGCACCCCCTCTGGTGTAAGGTGCCACGCCTGCCACGCTCTCCGACCCTGGCACGCATAGAGGCCGCGCTGAGCGACCACCGCCTGCGCACCCCCTCTGCTGTCGAGAAAGTGCCACACCTGCCATGCCTGGACGACTGGGGCGTGCTGTGCATGTGCTGTGCTGTGCTGTGCTCTGCTGTTGTGAGAAGGAGAAGGAGGAGGGGAGGGGTGAGGAGACGCGGGTGCGACGCGGGAAGGAAGAAAACCAGAACCCCGCGAAGCATGTGGGTAAAAACACCCATATGTATACATAGCCCTCTGATCTCGCGACCACTGGCCAGCGATTGGGCAACAGAAGTAATCTCGCTGCTGCTACAGCGAATCGCGAGGCACGAGCCATCTAGGTATCGATGCAAAGAAACGCTGTCAGAAGATGGGAGGAGGGAAAATCATGAGGAGCACGACTAGATGCATATCGCCAGCACTATCGCCAGGGAGGGCCAGCACCCAAGAAATCCGCACGCAAGTCCAAACGTGTATGTTTATGCCGTGTTTTCTCCTTCGACTCTCTCAGTGGCCCCTCGCTCCCCTCGCTCCTGCGCGCTAACGCTGCCGACGGTGTCCACGCCGGAGATGCCGGCATCGCTCCCGCAGCAGAAGATGAGGCTGAGCACGCGGATCGCCTCTCCGCTCCGGCGGTGGGGAGGTGGGAGCAGAGGCGCAGCACGTGGCCAGGTGGGGCGCGGAGCGGCACGAGGATCAGGGGGGGTAGCAGAGGCGCGAGGATCGGGGGGAACAAAGCCGGGGTTGGGGCAAAGGTAGGGTTGGAAGGAAAATCGCTCCGAACGGCCCCGGGAAGAAGGAAACGCGTTAGACAGGAGCATTCCTCTGGGCCCGTTCCCCAGACCCACCTTGGGATCCCTGGGATGACCCTCCCTCTACGAACCCCCGAGAGGAGGGATTTTGAGACAAAGCCAGGACCAGAGGCAAACTCGGACCAGGATAGACGATTTAGCCGGGCCCTGGCCCCGCCCGAGGGACGGAGCTCAGGGGGGGGGGGGCGATCCAGGCACGCGTCTGTGCGCTGGGAGGGACGTCGTGGGCAAGCCTTGGCAGTCTTGGCAGTCTTGAGGGCCTTTTGGCGCCACCTTGAGGCCGCCTGCGGCCGCCTTCACCCATCCAGGGGCTGAAAGAGTCCCCCAAAAGGCTGGAAACGCACCTGGGGGTGGGCCCATTTCTTGTTCTGTGCTAGGGGCGGCCGGGTGGCCAGCGCTCCGGCAGGATGCGAAGAAGAGAAAGAATACTCTGAACAATAAGAAGAAAACGAGTAGGAGGATGAGAAGAGGAAGAAGGAGAAGACGAGTGGAAGAGAAGGGAAAAATAATAATCAGCAGAAAAAGAAGATCAGACGAGTAAACAAACAACAACAGGATTACACCAGTCTTACACCAGTCCTCGTCAGGCCGGGTTGGGATAACAGATCCGCGGATAGCGGCGTAGGCGGATCATTGGCGCCATCGGAATAGGCGGAACATTTCCTAAGTTGCGGCCGGTCGCCACCCATGGCCGCCCCGTGGCCACCTCATTAGAGACCTCCCAGATGGGGTATGAGCAGATGGGGTCGGAGGACCGCGCCGCGTCCCCGATGCATCGCCGACGCATCAACGACTCTGGGGCGGACGAAGTCGGGCTCCACATCGCGCCGCATCGCCGATGCAGCGCGACCCTCCGACCCCGTCTACTCGGACCCCAGCTGGGAGGTCTAGACTCATGCGCTGGCTGGGCTGTCGGGTGCCCATCCGGTCGCCGCCCGTGGCCGCCCCGTGCTGCCTCGTCGCCGCCTCGTACGCTGGCCTGGACGTCCATCTTTGTGGCCTTCTGCATCAAACGGACAACGTCCGCGGCGGCGCGGACCACGAGGCCTCTTCAAGTGAAGAGGAACTGCATCGTACCCATTCTTCCCCCACCCATATCGATCGTCCCGAGAGATGGCGCGCGATGGCCTGCGCCCCAGCCATGGGTGGCAGGGCCCCCGGGTTGTTGTGCGCCAAGACGGCCTGCCGGGTCCAGGGAGGGAAGGGGACGAGGAGCGGCTGCAGCAGCACCAGGGGGAGAGGCCAGAAGCAAGAGGGCCTCCTGCTCCTCCTGCGACTCCTCTTCTTCCTCCCCCCTCCTCATCCTCCTCCTGCTCCTCCTCCTGCTCCTCCTCCTCCTCGTGCTCCTCCTCCTCCTCCTCCTCATCATCATCATCATCCTCATCCTCATCCTCATCCTCCTCCCTCCCTTCGCCTCCTCCTCCTCCTCATCATCCTCCTCCTCATCGTCATCATCCTCATTATCTCTTATCCTTCTGCCTTTTCTTCCTTCCTTTTCCTGATCCCTTCTCCTCCTCCCTCCTCCTCCTCCTCCCCCCTCCTCCGCCTCCTCCCCCTCCTCCTCCTCTCCTCCTCTTCCTCCTCCTTCTCCTCGTCCTCCTCCTCTTCCTCCTCCCTTGACGATGCACGAACTTTGATTAGTTGATCGCAGCGTCTTATGTCCTCCTCCTCCTCCTCCTCCCCCTCCCCCTTCCTCCTCCTCCTCATCCTCCTCCTCGCCTCCAACCCGTTTCCTTCTACAACCACCGGCCCAGTGTGTGAGCTTTAAAAAGGTACAGCCTGAGAGCCTGAGCTTTAACTCTGCTAGGGGAAGGGCCGGAGTGGCTCTGCCAGAGCGGAAGACCGCCGAGAACGAACGAACGTGTCCACCCCCCAACCACAGTTCTCGGAAACACGCTGACATGGATTAGGGATCCTCAGGTCTTTGAAAGCAATCCCACAAATACGAAGCCAGTGCCGCTTGGCGGCGGAACGCATCAAATTCGCATGGAAGCGGGACAGGTCGCTGATCCTCAAGTCTTTACCTGTTTTCGTTTCCTCTCAACTTTACCAACGATAGGGGGAGACCAGCTCAGGGGGGAAAATCGCCACACGTTTCAGGGCGGGGTGAGCTATCAAGCTCCTATCGGCAATGAGTGGGTGATTGAGGGTCGATGCATCCCCCTTCCTACCGATGCCATTGATTGACGCAGATGCCGCCCCCTCTGGCGGGAGCGCCGACAGGGCGCGATGGGGGAGGCCGTGCCAGCAGCAGGCCCCCCAACCCTTCCCCGGCGGAGGGAGCCCTCCTCCTCCACCTCCTCCTCCTCCTTGACCTCCTCTCTCCTCCTCCTCCTCCTCCTCCTCCTCCTCCTCTCCTCCTCCTCATCCTCCTCCTTGGACCTCCTCCCTCCTCCTCCTCATCCTCCTCCTCCTCCTCCTCCTCCTCCTCCTCCCCTTCCTCCTCCTCATACCCTCCTCCTCCAAACCGCCTCCTCCACCCCCTCCACCTCCTCCCCCCCGGCGAAGGGAGCCCTCCTCCTCCAACCTCCTCCTCCACCTCCTCCTCCTCGTCCCTTGTCCTCCTCCTCCTCCTCCTCCTCCTCCTCCTCCACTCCTCCTCGCCCCTCCTCCTCACCCTCCTCCCCTCCTCCTCCTCCTCCCCCTCCTCCTCAGCAGCAGCAGAAGCAGCGGCAGCAGCAGCAGTATCGCCATCCTTTCTCTTAGCACTACTCTTATTACGAACAATAAAAATATTAGCAATAAAAAGATTGTCCTCGTATTACTGTTACACGTATCAGTATTAGGATCATAAGTTCACTAGCAGTTGTACTTGTAGCAGTTGGTAGCAGTAGTCGTAGTAGTAATAGTAGTAGTAGTAGTAGTAGTAGTAGTAGTAGTAGTAGTAGTAGTAGTAGTAGTAGTGGTAGTAGTAGTAGTAGCAGTTGTACTTGTAGCAGTTGGTAGCAGTAGTCGTAGTAGTAATAGTAGTAGTATAGTATAAATAGAGGTAGTAGTAATAAATAGTATTAGTGTAGTATAGTAGTAGTAGTAGTAGTAGTAGTAAGTATAGTAGTAGTAATGTGTAGTATTAGTAGTCGTAAGTAGTTCGTCGTAAGTAGTAGTCGTAGTAGTAGTAGTAGTAGTAGTAGTAGTAGTAGTAGTAGTATCAGTAGTAATAACCATACTACGTATGAGTACCAGCAGTAGTGATCGTATTAGTCTTGCTAACATGATTGCTATCGCCATTCGTATGCGTAATATTAATCGTGTGGCTACTCCTGCTACTACGATTAGTAGTAGTACTACTACGAGTACGACTACTACCACTACGACTACGACTACGACTACGACTACGACTACGACTACGACTACGACTACGACTAACACTACTACTACTACTACTACTACTACTACTACTACTACTACGACTACTATTACTACTACTACTACTACTACTACTACTACTACTACTACTACTACTACTACGACTGCTACTACTACGACGACTACTACTACTACTACTACTACT